ACCTTACGGTCTGCGTTTAATATTCTCGAATAAGTTTTGAGCACAAAATGGGGTTGTTGGGCTAAGTTAGTACCATTCTGGGCCATTTACAAGGACTTGGGCCGTTGAAAATTGCAATTGGGCCACTGAAGACTGCAAATGGGCCGTGAAATCGAGCCTGATGACGCGCTGGGATAGCGCGGGCCACAAACAAAGAGATGAGCGGGCTGGATGTAGGGCTCAGGCGCGGGCCGGACGCGGGCCACTCGAGCTGGTTGCTGTGAGGGATGTGGGCTGAAATAGGTGGAGCTGCGGGCTGATACCTGGGCTTATCGGGCCGAGAGATGCAACAGGCACGGGCTAGGGGATGTGAGGCGCGCGGGCTACGGGTTTGGGCTTTCTTCTTGGGCTGGAGCATATCGACGGGAAAGTGCAGAGGGTCTGGCGTACTTCAGCTGATGTTCAACGGTGATTTTGCAGTCCAATAGACATTTTGGTGTAGATGATTATTATAATTATTATTATTATTATTATTATTATTATTATTATTATTATTATTATTATTATTATTATTATTATTATTATTATTATTATTATTATTATTATAGGTATCTTAGAGAATAAGTTAGAAATCTAATATTATTATAAGAGATCTTGTCTTGTTGGACAAGTTAGGAATAGGATTATGAGCCTTATTTAAAGGACTCCTCATCTATTGTTTTATTCAGTTGAATATGGAATGAAATAAGATATCGTGTTTTCTTTTGGGAGAGTATCCCGTGTTCTGGAGAGAGTATCTCCTTTTATCTTTTCCCATTCGTACGCTTTCCCTACATCACATTTGAAGATGAAGGGGACGGCGGCGAGCTTGCGGTGGCGCTAGTACGGATAGTGGAGGAGGATGATTTTTCGTGGCCGTGGGTAGCAGGTCTCGTCGGAGAAGGCGACCATCCGCCGGCGCGCCCCGACGAGAAAAATCCATTGGCGACCTCGGATTCAAGTGATTGGTCGGAAAATCGCCGGAAAATCAAAGGAGATTGACCGGATTTTGACTAATTTGTTTTTAGATCTACAAACTTTGACTGCTAAATGGATGACCCTCCCGTCAGAATTTTTGCGTGAAATTACAATTGTAGAACGAGCTTGACGAGAGCTTCATGGTGGTACCAACGGTTTTCTAATCAGAAAACTTTGACCGACGGCCGGCGGTGGAGGCGGCGACTGCCGGCGGCGGTGGGCGACGGCGCC